TGGCATACCTGTCTATCCCCAGCGTCAGCGCGACGCCCTGGGAGGCACACCCCTTCACAATTGCCAGCATCGACGGAGACATCCCCCGGGCAACGGCGAGCGGGCGCTCTTCGCAGGAAGACTCTCCAATCGAGAAAGGCGACTCGGTCGAGTCCGAGGTAGCAGTGGCGGAGACCTTGTCCGTGCCCGGATACAGCAAGAGACTGGTGTTCCTGCTCCGTGTCCACGATGGATTTACGAAGCGGCTTCTTCACGCCGCAAGCCACCCTTCTACTCCTAATGCTATGCCCAGCGCGTACATTGACGGCCCTTACTGTTCTCCGCCGTCCGTCCGAGGTTTCGAGACTGTGCTTTTATTTGGAGGTATGGCCCGTTTATTGATTTGAGAGAAATATCTCAACCTTCGCAGGCGGATCCGGAATCTCGTTTATTCTTCCGCTCCTATTAGATCTCATAAAGTAAGTACGGATTGACTTTCTCCTCGACTGCGTGTTGAAAATAACTACCCCAGGGGCGCAAATGCTGCAACCAATCCAACATGCCGTAAAGTTGTGATGGTTTGGGCCATGCGACACCCAGGTTCGTATGAATCTTGTAAAATCATTCATTTCATTTATAACTGTACAGAACACATAAACGCGATTTCCGACGACCTCCTACGTGCTCTTGACGGTCTATCTGATTCTCTGCTCCTCGAGATCCGCATCCACATCACTGCATCCGTCCAGAACTCCGAGAGCGATACCGAGAAAAGCGAGGGGAGCGTCAGTTTCTCCGACACCGGAAAGCTCCATAATGCCCCACATGTGCGCATTTTGCATGGGCGTCCCGAACTGAGGGCAATCATCGAATCAGAGATCGCCGAAGCGTCTGGCTCGATGTCTGTGAATGGTGAGCAGATAAGCGTCGAATAATATCCCCTTCTAACCCAGTTGTTCGCAGTCTGTGGAACGGCAGGTCTGGCGGAGAATGTCCGTTCGGCATTGCGTACAGCCTCGACTCCGTCGGACATCTTGAAAGGTGGACCTAGCATCAGCCTGCATGTTGAAGCATTTGGAATGTAGTTGGAGGGTGACGGGGTATGCATAGACAATTATCTACTAATATATAATAAATGCGAATTGTTCGAGCACAGTGCTGCCTTTCAGATCAAATTCGAGGCATCGCCGGAACAGTATAACTCTAAATTGGTATATAGGCAGCGGTTTACATCTATGTAATCCCACTGACGGAACGCGAACACTCCGAAAGCCCGTTATCCGAGTCCATTCACGATGGCGGCATAATTTCCCTGCGCCGTTTCCAATTGTAACTCTTAACGCAACGTCAGATGAAGTTACAGATGAACGATGAAGACCCACTAATCATCCGACAGCCCCGAGAAAACACAGACATAGCGGCGAGAAGGGTCTCAACCGCTTCGTGAAAATGAACCGCTCTTGGGCTGTACTTAGCCCGCGACAACTCTGTGATAAGCACCTGGCACGCGGCCATCCACAAGGTCTACCGCATTCATTCATGAGACCAGCCCGATAGAAACAAGGAGATACTCACCCCGACTATCGCATCGATATACCTCACGTCACCCAAGTTCGTCTGGCGTACAAACTCGACAACAGCCATGGCAGCGGAGATCGCACACGATCGCGAATGATCGTGCTTGAGGCAGAACGGGTTATGCAACTGGATAGTAGCCACCTGCGCAAGGCTGTGGATGACTAGGGGAAGCAATTGCGAACCATTCGGCTCCAGAGGCGGCAGCGCCTGTTTGAGAGACTCGATAACTCCGTCAAGGTGACTAAATTCGGCGGTGAACATATTGGGGCTTTTCCGGACCGCAATGTCTAAAAAACGTTAGTGCTACCACTCAAAAAGGAAAACACGGGCTCACCCTCGGTGAAACGAGCGGCTAGCCGCGATGCCTGCTCAAAGACGATGGCGGCCTTAGCGTGGAGCGCAATTGGGGATGTTCCGTGGTCCGGGAAATTAGACAGGAAACTCTCAACTGTTGCGCTGCTATGCAACGGAAGTATTCGAGACGCCTGGGGTGGAATGAGCATGTACATGTAGCATGAACAAAAGTAAATAATATACCTGCGAATAGGAGTGCATATCGAGGGGCCACGGTGTATCAACAACCGCATATGATATATCCCGAGGCGAGCCGTCCGCCGCAAGCCAGGTGTTATTCAGAGTCAGCACGGCCCAGAACGAGTTGATACGTTCTCCCTCCTCCATGGGGTTCTCAGCAGGCGTCAAATTGGAGTTTGCCAAGTTGCGCGCGTCCGCGGAACGAATTTTGTGGAAACCAGAACAGAGCGCGATGGACACTGCCGCACTGGCGTGATACTTTCCCTCTAAGATACGCGCGTTACAGAAAAAATACTGGGCGAGGAGCACCTCCGCCTGAAGTGTTTGCATGATTGCGTTGGGACAGCGGCCATTCGAGAGACTCCCAGAAATGTTGCGCAGTGCGTCTGAGAGAAGGCTGGCTTCGGATATCATTGTTTCAGAGCGTGAAAGATGTGCACCCCACAGGTAGATAGCGCTAAGAAGCGCGGGACATGCGATTTGGCTAGGGACAGCTCCATCTTCCAAGAGAGCTTCGAGAATCTGCGGATTCAAGAAAAACCCTACTTGTGAGGCGTACTGAAGGACATTGCTTGTTCTGTCACAGGTAAGCCCTCATATAAATATAAAACGATCCGACCTACATCGTATGAAAGAAATCTGTCCAAGACTTGGGACATGGTTCAACCTGAGCAGTAGGTCATTTTTTCGGAAGTTAAATACCTTAAGAATCAGATTGGCTGGGAAACGGAATTAAATCGATTTATGTTCGAGGAAATAACACTCACACTGTGATATCGATGTGCTTGGATCCGGAGTAAACTCATTAAGTTGTGGGCTCAAAGATCCTCTAGAACGGATTGGCCGATATGGGTTGTGCAGTCCGATCGACGTTCCCGTCTCATTCGGTTTTTCGAGTTCTTGGATCCGGGACTCTATGATGGATATTTTTTCTTCAAAAATAGTCAATGTGTTAATCATGCCAGATGCCTGTCACCATACCTTCCAGGACTTGTGATTGTGCCAAGCCAGTGTCGGTGTATTCACAATCATGAAGACCGCCTCCATAGAACGTAGAACAGGGCGTACAAATCGGCTTTTTGCCATCGCATCTCTGGAGTTGTCAGCTAGTAATGGAATATCGGCCACTGATCATGAACAACCCACCACTTTACGTCGTCTGTCCGAACAGCAAAAATAAGATCGAAATCATGACATATTTGCGAACATAAGTACCTGCAATTGAAGCACGCCTGGCCCTTGTTGAGCTGGATGTTCTTGCTTTTGTCGGATTGCGATTTCCGAGAGGTTCGCTGTTGATTCATTTAATGGAAGAATATTATAGAGAAACGTTGGCAGCTGCGCCGCCTTATATACCTTGATCCCCGTGACGACGCTGAGCAAGAGGGCGCACTCCCGTTCCGAGTTCAGCTCTTTGTTCAGGAATGGCGGAGGCGGAGCTTACAAATGCTTGTAAATCGTTCGAAACCGGAACCAAAATTCCCAGGGTGGATATTCTAGCGGTTTCTACCGGCATTGGGCTGTATCCCCGAAAACCTGGCGACGCGACTCGGTGTTGAAGTCATCCAACCAACAATAAGCCGAAAGCCGTCCACGATGGGGAGAAGCCCTCCGAGTCAACCAGAGTTCCGGCTTAATCGTAGTCAGGCCGTTAATCGTCCGACCCTTCATTCGATAAGTATTTTGAGCCTTAGTAACGCCGGTCTCATAATTTTACCGTTGTTATTCTCCAGTTGTGGGGATGTTACTCACGATAGTATTGAAATTTCGAGACGGGTGATTTCCTGTGATTTCTAAGTCTTCAATAATCAAATTCCGAGTCAATTCCGAGTTCTTCAAGCCTGCAGCAGCGCACCGCAGAGCACAGGCGAATCCTACCAGAAAGCTCTTCAAAGCAGTAGTAGTGGATTAACTTGACCACAGTTGAAGCTGATTCCGCGAGATCAGCAAGAGGTCGTGGAGAAAATGAAGAGATGCAACCGGAGAATGGCGGAACTCGATTGAGAAGTCCCGATCGACGTCAGCGCACGTGAGCCGGTTTGCTCTCTTCAAGACCGCCACGAATGATGGTAAGAGGCCGGTAAGCGGCGGGACACACAAACAGTTGAAGAGTTCATGGACACATTTTGTAAATTACAAAGAGCAGAGTGGTCCAGAAGACGCCGCTCGTAATTGCCTCTGACTACAGACTTTGATACCATGTCAGCTTGATTTCAAATCATGTAACGTTTTTGACGGCATTCTTGCACATCTAGTGCACAACAGTACTACTTAACGTACTGTCTGTGAACGAACTGCATGGAGGGATTCTCGACTAGTGGAGTGTCCACATGCCTTTTTTCTCCGTTATCAGTTTGGGCTCAAAGCCAAAGAATAATCTTCCGCGCGAAAATACCACCCGGACCCGTCCGACTTCAACACGGCCCTGTCTTGAAGTTTTTGGTTCACTCCATCCATCCGTCAGAAAGCTGCGCCCCACGATCCACTACGCAACCCAGCCCTTCACTCGAGCGTGGTGTACAGCACACCTCCACCTCATCTCACTCGGTGGTCAAATACGGTAGGCGGACGATCCGGGCTCGACTCCCGGCACTCAACTAACTTACCGTGACAGCCTTCACATACTTTGTTCTTCTTTTATCTGCGCACTTTGTCCAAGTTTTGAATGCTTGCCAAACCCTGAGAATAATTTTCGAATCACTACAAAAGTCGCACTGTGTGATTCGCTTCCTAGCACGAATCACCACCTTCAGTCATATTTTCTTAATTCACCAGAATTGAATCGGCGCGCCGAAAATCCCACAATGGCAAGTACCGAGAGATAGGGTATGTTAGAGGTTACAATAAATTGTGAAACGCAAAAAACTCGCTCCCAAGGTCCTGGCCCGGCTTTGGGACTACCTTACATGTCTTGACTAGTATATCGGTTAGTACACGCGCTTGTCATGCAATATGAGGCAAGTTTCGCGCGAAAGCTGGGTTCGACTCCCAGGTCGAGAGTTTCTTTTTTCTGGCAGCTAACCCGAACTCTGCTTGTGGCTGCCCAAATTCAAGGCGTGGTACATGTTGTTCCTCCAGATGTAGTATGTACGAGACCAAATGTTCATTGCGACAGCAATCTATTTCGCCCGACAAACACTAAAGCGTAAACCAAAAAGTAAAAAGCAATGAAATCTCCCGAGGACTCTTGACCTGGGAGTCGAACCCAGCTTTCGCGCGGATAGAGACATGACAAGCGCGTGTACTAACCGATATACTAGTCAGGACGTGTTGGGTAGCGAAAGCGACGTCTGATAGTCATGGAGTACCCTGCGCGTCAAGCAAACAGAAAACGGGGCGAGGCCCACCAAGAAAATGGAATGAAACTGAATACGCACGCGCGCTGCTCATATTCACAAAAGTCCACAAGCTAGGTAGATAGTTAAGGGTTCTCCACCTCTATTTCTCCGGCTTGCCTTGGGCGCGCGTCGGTGGTCTTCACAGCCTTCCTGGCCATTCCGGGCTGCGCAGCGTCCAAACCGGAATTCCATCCGCGACGGTAATGTAATACAAGAGGCCGCGATACAAGCCGGTTGAGCTTGGTTCTTGACAAGAAAAAATTGAAGGGACTAGCGGTTTATAAAAGTTTATATCCATAGCCAGAAGTACAGTGAGGCTCGGGCCGGACGAGGAGCAGGCGGTAAATAAATAGGACGCGAGGAAGGCGATGATTCTTTTTCTGGTTCTGAACGAGATAAGACCATTTTGAGAGAACAGCTGTGTGTCATTCAGGAGGAGCGGTTTGGAAGAGGAGAGACACAAAAGGCCTAAAGCAGCAGAAAGCTTTGTCAGCCTGTCAGCCTCACCTCTTTCATCAGCACTTTTCGCCCGTCTGGTTCTGTCTGTCCTGCAAGGGCCCTCGTCTTGCTATAACAAAGGCCGCTCTGCTGTACCACCCTTCGCATCTCCCGCCTTTTTTCGCACTTTTTCTGGCCTTTTTCGCCCCGCAGAGCCCTTGCAATGCCGTCTGCAGACCGAAGCGACTCACCCGATGATCGAGAAAAAGACGAGGGCAGAGGGGGAAACAAGAAATCGTCTGCGTCCAAGTGTATGCTATGGCTTTTTTTCTGCTTTTTTTCACCGTCTGAACGTCGCAGCAGCAAAAGATCTGTCCCATGTGCCGTGCAAATTCTACAAGGTCGGATCTTGCACCGCGGGGTCCTCCTGTCCTTTCTCCCACAGTCTCGTCGAGGCCGGGGGACAGAAGGACGTCTGTGCGTGGTTCGTAAAAGGCAACTGCAAGTTTGGCCACAAGTGCGCCCTGGCCCATGTTTTACCGGGCCAGACTATGGCCATGGACCGCAAGAACAAAAAAGCTGCTCAGATCGCAGCCAGCGGTGCAAAAAATGGCGAGTCAAAGGGCCGTGGCGGCAACAAGCGCGACGGTGGAAACAACTCGAGGAATGCCCCCAACCTACTTGCCGGCGGATCGACAGCGCCCACACGCGCGAGACCCCCAATGAATATGCCGCTCAAGGCGACGATATCCCCCTCGGCCCCCGCACCTCCTCTCAAGGACACCGACTTTGCGTCCTTTGGGGTGCTCGACGAGAGCAATCAGCTCCCGACGGCCCCTGCCCGCAATAAGTCGCCCTCACCCACTGTCCCAAAATCGTCGTCCCCGACCCTCCCCGTCTCCGCCCCGCGCCGTCCCAGCGTCAGTTCCCCTACCAAGGACTTTGGCCCAATCGGTTCGCCCCCATCGTCTGCTACCTCGCCATCATCCCGAATGCACTCGGGCACCCCTCCGACGCAGGGCAACGGCTTCCTCTCCACGTCGCCCTTCTCCGCCCCTGGCACTAAACCGCCGTTCCTCGGGTACGGCGACGGTGGTCGCCAGGGCATGGCCGCCAGTCTGGGCAGCGGAATGGCGATGGGCGGCGGCCTCGCTGGCTGGAATGCCAACGGGAACCAGGTGTCGTCGTCGCCCTTGCGCGGGTCTTTACTCTCTGCGGGCAGGGTGAACGGCCGCCCCACCAACGGGGAGTACGACATCTCGGTCGAGTACGAGGAGCTCGGCGTGAAGGCGCGGCGGAAGGCAAACTTAGAGGATTCCAACGAGGATCTCGAGGACTTCCTCCCGAGCTCCCTCACGGATCTCTTGACGCCTGAGGAGCGGATGCGGCGCATGTCGAGGACCAACTCTGGGCAGTCACCGGGGTTGGAGGGCTCGTCGCCGCATCGACACGGATTGGGCGTGCCCCTGGGGCACAATGCCGGCGCAGGTGGCGGAGGCGGACACCGCTACTCCCGCTCTGTCCCCGCCCCGTCCCTGCTCGGCGGCGACCTCAAGTCCATATGGGCCAACGGTCCCCCACCACCGAACGCCAATCCCCAGGCGTCTGGCCTGCCCGGTTCCCTGGGCGTCGGCCCAAGCTCCTACTCCTCCGCCTCCGGTTTCGGCGGGCGCGAACTCGAGGGCGCTCCCTCCTCCTTCGCCGAACGCGCTATCCCTTCCCTCTCGCCCAGCAACGCCAGCGCCGCCTTCCTCCCGGGAATCCATCACTACATGGCGCAGAACAAGCAGCAGGGCGCGCGCACCACGAGCAACCCCACTGCCGGTGCCAACAGCAGTGGGCTCTTCGCTTCCAACGCCGCCGCGCAGCAGGGCCCTCCGGGGATCGCGCACTACCTCCAGTCCGGCCCCTCGGGCGTGCACAACGCCGCGCCCTCGCCTTACGTCCGCCCGAACCCGTTCGACCTCACCCAGCAGCAGCATCAGCCCCACGGCGCGCACCCCGCGGTGCCCCCGGGCCTGCCTGCCCACGGGCACCACGGACACGCGGGCATCCCGGGCGCAGGCGACACGCACATCCTCTCGCCCAACGCGCGCGCACTGCAGGCGCACGCGCCAGGGCAGTCCCTCCCGCAGGGCCTCGCGGCGGGCTACTCGCGCATCCACGCGCTTCCCCCACTCCCGCCCACCGCAGGCTCGCCGTCCCCCGCGGCCTTTGGCACATCGCCCAACACGGGCGGCGGGTACAACGCGTCGCGCGACTGGGCGACGATGAGCACGGGGAGCATTAGCGGCAGCCCGGGGTTCATGAGCTTCATGAACCAGCCGGCGCCGGCGAACGCTGCTGCTGCTGCGGCCGCGGCCGCGCCGCCGAAGGGCGTGGTGGCGAGCCCGCCCGTGGCGGGCGCGGGGCTGGACGCGATGTTCTCGCAGCGGTCGTACTCCGCGGCGACGCGCACGGGCGGTGCGAGCGGAGTGCCGACGGTGGCGGCGCCGATGCAGCGTAATGCGAGCGGGGGCGCGAAGTGGCAGGGCGGCGCGCCGATGAGCCCGCTTGGCGGGCCTGCGGTCACTGCTGGCGCCGCGGACGACGGGGACGACCTTTTCCGGCTCGACGACTAATCTGTCGGCGTCAGGCTGCCCGACTAACCGTCGCCGCACGAAACAACTTATCTAATCCCGCCCGCTCTAGCTTGGCTTGGCTTGTTCCTCCTTTCTCACTTTGTTTTCTGTCAGACGCGCCTCACGACCCTATCTCACTACTACATCTCCCATCCATCTATCGCCCCATCTACACTCATCCATCTCATCTATCTCGTCTCGTCTCCTTACTTACCTGTTGTGTGTCTACCTACTACTTACGACAAGAATCCCTTGCTCTCCTCTCATCTCATCTAACTCTCGTAGCTACCGTCTATCTATACTCCGTTACGCTCCACGTATCTATCTATACATCCCCTTCGTGCACGGACTGCAAAAAGCAACGCAGGTCTCGTCGTGTAGTATTACTAGCCCACAATCCAATCCAAAATATTTTCCCTCTCTGCGGGTCTCTTCTGTGTACTCTCTTGCACTGACTTATCTCTCGCAACGCTGCTCTGAAGGTCTCTCCTTCCGATTTCAGGGCACTCGCAAAAACCGGCGGGTCTGCGAGTACATACGACATATATACACACATAGTGATACTCAAGAACGACGCCTTGTATCGAATCGGATATTGTGCCTAGATTGCTTCCTTAAAGTCTTAGTCTTCCTTAAAGTTGGGACTGCAGTGGGATTGTTCGTAGAAGTACGAGTACTCAATAGTCTACAGTACATGAAACTTGTACAAAGTTGATACAACGAGGGATACAAAAACCTAAATCCTGCCAAATTAAACGCGTACAACAGAAAAATCCAGGCTGGTGTTACATTGTCAGTGAGGGCCCGCAGCGAGCTTAAACTGCGTTAGTATTTAAAGACATGCAGCCTCCCGCTGCTCGACAGAGACGGTAACCATTTCTGGATAACCTCCACGTCGGTCGGTTCCATTCGGCGGAAAGCTGGGCCGTCAAAGTATGCGTACAAGTTGATCTTCACAGGACGCGTCTGCGTCAAACGTGCATCGAGTTCTGCCCACTCCTGTGGTTCTTGGTCGCCGTCCCGATCCAATGAGTGCCAAAGCACGATCCGTATTGTTTTCAGGGCGGTCAGATTCTCCAATTCACCGAATAAAGGGAGCGCGATGAGCACCGACCTCAATCTCATCACCTCGAAGTTGAGGGTGCTCAGATAGTTTTCACGTCCGAGGGTTTCGGGATTAATCTCATACCAGCGATCCTCGCTGGAGCTTTCAATAACTGGAGACGTGCGGATTCAGATACGATTAGAAGAACCATAAAGGCCACTGCGTACCAAATCCAGCCCCGACCGTGATGTCTTGGATTGATCCCGCATTTGCTCGCAGAAGGCCAGTTATGGGACCACGATTGAAGACGAGCGATGTTAGATGTTTTATGTCCACCTTGGTGAAACATTGGAACATCGATTTAACATCGGGAGGTTTCATGTTGACCAAATTCAATGATTCGAGTATCAGGCGATGACCACTAGAGACACTGTTAATATTAAAATCCGCAGAGCTATTGTGAGAGCTGGTTGGAGCCTCCCCCACATCCTTGTCTCTGCCAAAGTCGATCGCCACGAGCTTCAACTTCCGCAAAGATGCGCTCGGCCGCAAAAGCGACTCGAGTTCGAAAGGATCACGAAATTGGTAGTGGCGTAGCTCAACGCATCGCAGAGTGGGAAGCGTGAACACGGATTGAGCTGCTATGTCGAAGGGAAGCGATCTGTCGACAAAGGCCGACTCTAGGATGAGGGTGTCCAATGCGGTCACAGAGCCCAGAATTTGGGCAAAAGATTCCAATAGTTCGCTTCCCAAACTGAAGGACAGTCTGAGAATTCGGATATAGCCTCCAAGATGGGGGGAGGATGATAAGACTGCAGACATGC